CTGAAAAGATGGAGGGTAGACAGCCTGAATGCTTTCCTCTGTTTACCTACAGCGCAAATGGTCTGTACTCCCCCCTCCTTAAAATACTGATTAACGAAGCAAAGGGGATCAGGACTAGTCGCTCGGTTCCCTACAGTTAAGAGAAGCTGCAGGAAGAATAGGATCGTTGCCTATTGAGGCTTGGGGGGAGGAAATGAATGGCTTTGATTCCTGGTACCGCTGCTTAGCGGGGCGATTTCAAAGCCCCTGTGTGGAAGCCTTCTGCTGGGGGGGTGCAGGCTGCATTAGTGGGAGCAACAGCCAGGTGGCTTTGTGGCATTTCTTAGCAACTCAAACCGTAGAGCGGACACTGAGAGGAGCTGCCAGGCGCTCAGTTACTCATGGTCTAGTAACAGTCCCTGTAGTTGAAAGAAAACCGGGCCATAGGATACGCTGTGGGTGGGGTGCTGAAGCTGAAACAGTATCCTGAGGGCCCTGGATTGCGAGTCAGCCAAGCTTTGCTGTAGGTGCAAAGGAGGCGAAGTTAGGGAGACAGGCTGGCTGCAGTGTCAGTAAATACAGGATTGGCTTGTGGCGGTGGGACCCAGCCACATGACGTGCCCGGAACTGGGAATAAACGCTGCAAGTCCGCGTCTGCGTAGCTGAACGCTGGCATTCTGTAGGACGCGTGCCAGCCCCAGGTAACCAGGGAGTGGCTCTTGGCGGCGGTGCTCTGGGAAGCTTCCAAGAGGCGAGATTGTTCCCAAACGGGGTTGGGGAATTATGCCATTCCCTGGTATAGCTGCCCCCTCCAGTCGTGTTCTTGCATGTGTATGTGACCGAAGCCATCCCAAGTTCGGAGAGGTTTGTTTGCGTGTCCTTCTGCGGGGCCTGTTGGTGCATGCGGAGGGAATGCTGGGGCACCTCTCCTGGAAATGGTCTTTCCTTTGTTTTTGCTAATGGCTCCTGATAAGCCTCTCCCATGTCCGGGCAGGGACCTGGTGTCTCCATTGCATTTCATTTGAACTCTGTGTGTGCCTGTAATGAGTCATTAACTTAAGTAATTAACTCTTAATTGATGAACGGACAGCCAATGGCATTGTTTGGCAGCAGCTAGAGATGGAACAGGAGCGTAGGGGCTGAAATACACATTGTGCTGAGCCCTCCAGTTAAAGATTGGGACGAACTGGCTGGGCCGGGGACCGGAGGCTGTTTCTGGCGTCTCTGGTGCGAAGGAATGCCCTGTAGGGTCAGTATGGCCAAAGTCACTGCTGCTCTCCTTCCTCTAGAAAGTCACCGTTGTTCCGGGAATCCGTGTCTTGTCACTGGGCTCCGGGCAGCGTATCGAGAGGGACCCCACTCTGCTCTGGATTTCTTCTATCCCCCAGCTTGGCTCTGGCTCAGACCGAGAGCTTTCCCCAAGGGCCAGACGCTATCCTGCATCTGTTCTGATCTATCCAGGCCCTTATCCGAGTCTCATCGCCATCCGCACTGCCAGGACGGGGGCTCCGGGGTGTGCTCTCTTCTAGAGCATGGGCCAGGGATTTTTGATCCTTTGCCCCTCGCTGTTGGGTTTTGCGGCGTCCTTGGCAAGAGCTGCGATACGGTGAGGCCTTGGCAGCGAGTCACTCTGTGGTCAGGGGCGCAGCGATGTTGTCAGAGCATTGGGACAGCTATACAAATAGTGAGAGATCCGTGCATGGCCCTCCGCTGCAGCGTTCCCAGAGCGTTCGGGACATGAAGAGTATCTCGGTGACTGAGATGCATGCGCCTTGTCCGTCGGGGGGCCTCACTCGCTGGATGGGAGGCTTGTGGCAGCCCTTGCGGCTTGGAACCAGGTCTGCCACATCTGAGAAAGGCGAGAGAGGATGATGAGACAGCCCTTGCATTGGAGATTAGCGAGCGTCCTGGGGGGCAAGTCACTTGCTTTTCCATGGGTAGCTGAAGGGACCTTTCCATTTGAGCTGGGATTTTCACAGAAGCCGAGGGAAGTTGGACATCGCAGTCCCAGCCCTAGAATTTGATGCTCTTTGTTTGGCAGGGGAAAAGTTTCAAAAGCGACTTAGACTCTTTGAGCCCTAACAGCTTTCCAAGAGACGTTGGCTCCCAAGTCACTTTTGAAAAAGGGACTTGGGCTGTGAAGTCACTTAGTGGCTTTTGAAAACTGTCCCCAAGCTGGTATCCATTGAGCTGGCACTTTCAGTGCCACCATCCACTCCGCCAGAGACCTTTCCCATCCCTTTCCCGCACTGGGAGGCCATAGAAACTCCACCCCTTCCCCCCTTTCTAGTTGGGGTCTCAAAGGAAACGTCCCCGTGGTTACCTCGTCGCATCGCATGTGGGGAAAGAAACTATAACAAGTCACCATTCTCTTGCAGGCTCCAAGACTTGGAGAAGGAGGAAGATGGGCTGAGTGAGAAGGTAAGGTTCTCTTCCCGTTGTTGGTGCGTTACCCATTTCTGCTGATCGACGCGTTTCCAAAGAGACACCCAGGCTTTCATGGACGGTCTTGAGTTGTGACTCTCATGAAAGGGGCTTTTGGTACCGTTTATTCTGGTGCTGTTCCCCGGTGCCCTTCTATACAACAGCACTCCTGCTCTGCAGCCACGCAGGGGGTATTTCATGAGGTGTTTCTGTCCTCCTGAATTTGCCTATGTCTCTTAGTCAGGCCTGCCAAGCAGCGTTAATTTGCAGAAGTGACTTCAGTGGAATTTAGCTGATTTCTCAGCTGTATCCTGCATACTTGGCCCAAGAGTCACGTCCGTTCTGAAGTCTGGCTTAAAAGTGTGATTCATTGGCCTGGCATGGCAGCTTCCGGAACCTCACAGACAGACAATGCAACTATTACAGAAGGTCCCAGAGGCCCATCTGAAGTTGGATCCTTTGTGCCTGGTGCTGCACAGACATAGTGAGAGAAGGTCCCTGCCCTGGGTCAGAACTAGGGCTTGGCTGGTCAGGCCTAGTGGTCAGGGCTGGTCCCAGAGACCAGGGGTCAGAACTGGGGCTGGAGCCTAAGAGTGGTAGCCGGAGTTCGGGCCCGGGGTCAGGGTCCTAGTACTGATGCCAGGGGGTGGGAAGGAAGCCAGCGTTTGTGGAGAAAAGCCAGGGTCAGAGCTCAAGCACTGAAACCTGGGGGCAAAGCCGACGTTCGAGTCCAAGTACCAAAGCCGGGGGGGAGGGTCCCTCTCGTTGCACGGATGCTTCCTGGAACTCCCCTTGGACCAATCGGTACTGCAAGGGAAGCTGTCAGTCTGGCCTTCCGAGGCAGTACTTCTTGTAGTCTTCATCTCCACAAGGTCTGGGCGGTAGTGTCCGCAAGCAGACGGTGGCTGCCAGGTGGTGACCTGGAGGCGCTGGCCTTCCTGCATCCCGCAGACCTGGGTTCCAGTCCCATCCCTGCAGAGCTCAGTCTAAATAGACAAGGGCTGGGAGGGGGAGACTTGGCCAAGGCCACCCAGCAGGTCGATGGCAGGACCAGGAAAAGAATCCAGGTGTCCTGAGTCCCAGGCCAGTGCCCTCCCTGCTGGGACGTGCTGCTCACCCTGCCCTTGTTCTGAAAATCAGCACAATACATGCCCCGTTGGCGGGGGGGCTCTGGAATCTGACTTAATAAGGAGCTAGGAAAACTTGGTGAGAAGGGAAAGGGCAGATTGCACCGCCGGACCAGAGAGGTGAACGCTGCAGACTTGTCAGTAAGAGCCTCTCGCTCATCTGTTCCCCGGCTCCTCAGACACATGCTCCTGCAGTGAGGTCATAATCCTGTATTTATTCTATCAGTCCGTTTCCATAGAAACCGCTGTCATGTCACAAACTGGGCTTCGTGACTTCACTCCAGAGTTGGGCAAGAGGAGGCTGGAAACTCAACCTGCACCATTAACCCACCAGCGTGGCGAGAAGCTTGGAGGGCGCAGGAGGGTTCCCGGGAGGCTCGGATGTGGGTCGACATGCCCCAGGGCTGGGTGGATTTAGCAAAGGCGTGACCTAGCAGAGACTGTGCTGCTCATTGGTAACGATCCCTGCATTCGGGATATTGCAGCCATAACCCCTGAGCAAGAGTAATGATAACCCCGGGTTCTGGAAGGGCCATAAATGCTGCTGCTTCAGGGCGTAGGCTTGGACCTCTTAACTATTGGGGTCAGGAGGGAACTTCCCCCCCCACCTCCCCTTACTGTCTCTCCCAAGGCTTCACGCACCGTCTTCTGACCCGGCTGGTGCTGGCCTCTGTTGGAGTGGGGTAGCTGGGCCCCTGCTCCGGCCCAGCCTAGCATCTCCTCTGGCCATCTTGCTGTGAAATAGCAAAGCCACGCTCTGCTACTGCAATGAAGGAGCGTCTCCCTGCGTATGGCAGTAAGGCAGCCCAGGCCCCGGTAACAAGCCGGTTCTTTCTCCTCCACCACGAACGTCGGCTTGCAGAAACTGTGTGTGCCCAGAAGGAAAGCCCATGGGAGCACCCGGTGCTCGTGCGGCTGGGGGGACTGGTCGCAAGCCTGTAACACCTGCTTCTCCTCCTTGTCCCCTCAGGAGTGCGTGAAGGAGAAGCTGAATCTGGTCCATGGCTTCCTACAAGCAGATGCACAGAATCAGCTGAGCGACCTCGAGACCAGGCTGCACCGAGAGGAGCTGTCGGAGGTGTGTGTGTGTGAACACGCCTGCCTGCCTGCCTGCATACATGGGAATGGGGGGACCAGGTGTAGGCGCTCAAGGGTCCCGCCTGGGGGCCCTGGCTTCTGCAGTGAAGTGATGGCTCAGAATCTCGGATTTCATTTTTTAAGAAAAGGTAGCTAAGCCTGAAAACATGACCCGAGTATAACCGATGTCTGTCTGCGCCTGCAGCCAGCCTGAAACACCCGATAGCTACACGGAGCGTTCATCTTACCTTGGAAGCCTGCTGCCACCCAAGCAGGTGCAGGGCTGCCTGTGGCCAGGGTAGCTATGGGGACCCAGGGTGAGGGGTGTGTTGGACTCAGCCCTTGGAGGGCTTTGTGGGGGTCCGGTGTTATAACTGCGCCTTGCTCCCCTAGGAGGGGTACCTGGCCAGGGTGAAGGCCTTGCTCAGCAAAGAACTGTCCGTGGAGAATGGGGACGCCGCGGCGCTCAGCCAGAAATCCAACGGGTGCTCCGAGAATGGCGCTTACGGCAGTGACGAGGACTCGGAGAGAGCCGGCCACGAGGGGGAGGAGGACAGCGCTATGGAGACGGAGGAAGCCGTGGCATCCTCCTCCTCGTCATCGGCCACCATGTCAAAAACCCGCAAAGCCAGGAGGAGCAAATCCAACGGCGAGAACAAAAGTAATGATCTGGCCTTGTGCTGCCCTGGCAAGCGAGGCCGGGTCTGGGGGTTCTGCCCCCTCGAGTCTTGCTTCGCAGTGGAGTTCCCTTGCTGCTTCTGGGCAGCCTTACTGACCCCTTTCTAGACCCTCAGCTGAGATGGGGCTGCCCCCCACCCAACGCTCCTCGGTGCTTCACCTGAGCACGGCCGGCTCACCACTTCCCTTGGGGAGGCTTGGCTAGCGAACTCCCCTTTGTGATTGCCGGGGCAGGGTGGCCAGCTGGTTTGCATGCTTGCCGTGCCCCTTGGGAGCTCTTCCTCGGGCTCGTGGAAATGCCTGCTTGGTTGTAGGCACCTCGCAGCGCAGAAGTGGGTACGAATGTCTCCTTGGCATCCGATAGCAACCTCACCCATTTGCTGTGCCCTGATACAATGCGGAGAGTCAGATTCCTGGGGCAAGAGGCACACTGCCCTGTAAGGTTTGGTTTCATAACCTCCAGGTCTTGCTCTGTTCACTCTTAAAGCAAATACAAAATGAGCAGAAATCAGTTGCGCAGGAGCTTGGGCAGCAAACTGCTCCGATGTAAATGCTGGTGGTGTATTGCCGGAGCACCCCGGAGCCGATGATCCCTGCCACTTACAGAATGGGGGGAGGGCAGGAGCTGTGCTCAGGTTTGATGTATCGGAAGGAATGTGGCATCGCCTCCTTTCTCCACCTGGGCACAGGGGAATGCTCGGGCACATGGCGCAGGAATGGCAGGTGTCAGACGTTGATGGCCAAATTCTCAGCTGGGCTGAGCTCTTCTGTGCCGCTCTGGCTTCAGAGCGGGTGGAAGCAGACCTCTGGTATCCCCCTTGCACACAGGGTCCTCCCTGGTTGGTGTGGAGCTGGTATCTGCCCAGTTCCCAGAGTAGGGGGCTGGTTGGGGGCATGGCTGGAGTACACAGCCCTGTGGCTCTTCTGTCCATCCCGGGGGCCATGGGAAGCAAAGCGTGAGCTAGAACAGCCTCGAGGCTGCTCTAATCTACACCGGGAGTGGAGCAGGTGGGGAATGCAAAGGTGGGTCAGGATCAACTCTGCTGCTGCCCCACAGGCTGGACTGGATTAAAGGGAAATCAGGCCCTCAGGGTGGTGTGTGAATGTGCTGAGTGATGTGGACCATGTGCTTCTCTAGCGATGAATGACAACGGGGGTTCTCCCTGCAAAGTAATGATTGCTCTTTTTCTTCTGACAGAATCCCCAGCCAGTTCCAGGGTTACCCGGAGCTCTGGCAGGCAGCCGACCATCCTAGCTCTGTTTTCCAAAGGGTCAGTACGTCCTGCAGCTCCTGGTTGTGATTCGTGTGGGTTTTGAGATGGATATGCATTTTTTAAATCTCCTAACAGTTTTTTTTTGCTAGTGGTTCATTAGCGTCATCCCTCTTCTTGGTTGTTCTCTTTGCACGGTTGCTCATTGAATAGTTGGTACGGGTTCTTGTGAAAGATTCCCAATGGGCTAACAGGGTGGATCCTAAGATTTGCAGGTCCATGACTGTCTAACAGCCTCTAACTTGCACATCCTGTAACCAGCAGGGGAATGACCTGAAGTTCAGAAAGGGACACCTCAGCTTGAGAATCTGTTGGGTATCGTAGCACAGTGGGGTCCCAGTCCTCCGTAGGCACGTCTCTAATCCACCCAATGTGCAGTGCCTGACACCCTGGGGTCCTGGCTCACGGCTGGGTGGTGGGAATATTAGCTGATAAATGTCTTATTTTGATTGACTAAGTTACGTTTATGAGGGTGAGAAGGAAGCTGATGTTCTCTCTATGAAGGTCCGAGGTGTGGTGTGGGCTAGTGGGTAGGTCTCTGAGCTGGGACTTGGCAGAGCTTCTGTCCTGGCTCTTCCACTGCCTGCCTTGTGACTTTGGCCAAGTCACTTCCCCGCTCTGCCTCTCTCCCCTCCTACCCCTTGTCTGTGTAGATCGTGAGTATGTTTGGGCCGGGACTGTCTCCTATATTTGTGTAGAGCTTGGGCCAATGGGGGCCCAATTTTGGATGCTATTAAAACGCAAACAGTTAATAAACCCAAGGTGGAGTGGATCAGAACGGCTTAGCCGGTTCTGCGATCAGTGTTGTAACAGCAGCCGCTGCTGTTGGTCTGCTTAGACAGCCCATTCAACCTGCTTTAGGTAGACTATGCTGTTTGGGTCTATTTTTCCATCGCCGTCTCTGAAAAGCAATTTGCTCCTTTCAAAGACTTGATCGTTCTGTTGGTTTTCACCTTTAACCCAACAGATCCAACAAACGCAAATCGGACGAGGTGAACGGAGAAGTGAAGCAAGAAACTAATCCAGAGAAGGAGGAAGAAGAACTAGAAGAGAAGGTACGTCTGGCGCATGTTTGAAAACAAATTCTTAGACAGACATCTCGTTAGGCTATTCAGGAAGAATAGTCAGGCAGATTTAAAAATGTTATTAAAGTTAATGTTTCAAATCAAATGTACACAAGTTAAGAAGGAAGGGACTGTATGTCTGGGGTCGGGCTTGGGTTATGGGGGATTGCAAGTATCGGTTACAAGGTTCACAAGATACATGATTGGGGTGTGGGAGTTTTTAAAGCGTCAGTGGATAAATGGGCCGCCCATGGAATGTATTAAGAGTCCAAGTCAGTATTGGTGGAGACAAGAAGTACATGGGTGGGGTGCGTTTCTCGGTTCGTCAGGGAAGGGAGGAAGTGGGTTATTTCCCTGGTCGGTGGTCTCAGTTATTCGACGTGGTACTGGCGGTGTCCTGTGACGTGTTCTGTGTCGATGTCTCTGGACCACCTGACGGGGTCGGACACCATGAGCTGTCTCGTGTATTTCTATTGCGATTCCAATTTGCTTAGTTTGTAAAGCTGTTGGGCTCTTACATGCATTTCTTTCTTTCACCTCTACTTCAAGGAGCAAGATGAAAAAAGAATTAAAATTGAAACCAAAGAAGGGTAAGAGCAGCTAAAATTTCTTTAATCAGGTGTTTGAATGTTCTGGCTTGTGTGTGTGTGGACTAGATGACCTCTCGAGGTCCCTTCCGGTCGCGTGTGTTTGTGTATTACTCTTTGCAGAAATTTGTCACAGGCTCTGTTGTGGCAAAAGACAAAACAAAAATCAAAAAGATTTCTAGCTGAGTTTTCCTGTCCGTGTCCGACTTCATCACCCTAAACCTGGGGAAGCAGAGACAATGTTAAAGAAATGGAAGCAATTTAGTGTCTGAAAGAAAAATGTTCCTCTGGTAGTTTACTAATTTATTAAGCGTCTGAAAATATAGATGAGTGATTGGGTCTGGCTCAGTGAATTCCTTTTTTGTGCTTCCAGCTGTGCTGTTGATGTGAAGTCTGGGCTTTCCGAAAGGGCCTCATGGGGACTGTTTTCAGCAGTGCCCAGGTGTCCTGTTAAGTCAGTGGAACTTCGGGCTTGTCTGTACGCAAAAGTTGTATTTCTCCGTGCCTCAGTTTCCCTATCTACATATTGAGGATAATGAGATTGAGCTGTTTGCTAAAGCGCTTTGAGATCTGAGGATGAAAAACACTCAAGAAGAGCGAGGGATTATAGTTAAAGCAGTACAGCGCGCCCCCAGCGTGAATGCAGTATTCTGGTCTAGCTTTTCTCGCACGGGGATCGCTCACGCTGTGTAAGGCCTTGCCTGCGCTTGGAAACTAACCGGAACATCTCTCTGTGTGGACGCTCTTATTCCAGAAGAAGAGTGCCTTTTTCCGGTTTAATCTGCTTTCAAGTGGACTAAGCTGAACCAGAAAAAGGTGATCTTATTCTGGAATAAGAGCATGCACATGGAGAGCTATTTCTCGTTGAATTCACACCCGACCTAGTACTGGATTAACTTCCTGGTGTAACTGCAGCCACTCTAAGGTCTGTTTTTATTTTAAAAACAAACAAACAAACAACACATGTACCCCCAGCCAAAGTAGTAGTTGTAGCAGCATGACACAAGTGTGTCGAGAAGGCCCCTGGCTCCTGAGACACTTAGGTCCTTTTGGAAGTTTTACGCGCCCAGAGCTGGGCATGTGCCTCCCTTCGCCTGCTCGGGAAAGCCCAGCAGGAAGGCTCGGTGAAATGCAGAGTTAATCAAAAAGAGGGAAAGCAATTCACCCCCATCCGAAACCCCCCAGCAGAGTCTGGTAGCGTGTCTGACGCCCCCTTCGAACTGGTGACAGTGAGTGCGGGCTTGGGGGAGGGGGTTCTTAGTATTTTCAGCTGATCTTTTCTTCTTCTTGGGCCGAGGGCTGGATGCTGGAATCTGTGAGCAGATAGTGTGTGAGGAGTTTGGTGCCTTCCTGTAGCACGAAACCACCTCAGCTAGAAGAGCGCATTTGTTTTGTGGGGCATCGGCAGTGAAATGTTTGCGTGTATTCGGGTCTCTCGAACAGCTGAGAGCACTGGGTATGCAGGTGGTGGAATAGCCTCGCTAGGCTTTTTTGTCCTGAGCCTTCATTCCTTGTTTTGATGTATTTTGTGCCCAGGTCTGAGATAAAAGAGGAAGCTACGCAGGTTAAAACCGCACCGCCTGCTAAAGTAAGTGGTTTCTCCTGTTCTCGTCAGCGCTTGGGCCCTGTCCGAGCACTGCTGACAGCTTTTCAACCGCTCGGAGTGGCAGCGAGTCAAGCAAAAGTACTCTCCAGTGCACACGTCACTCGCACCTCCACATGATCTTTAAATGCCGCATTTACAGCACGAACAAAACGTAACGAGGGCATGGGTGTGTTGGGTCGGTGCAGTGAGTCCTTCCTCCTGCCACGCCTGGCCAGGTCAGAGAAGTTGCTAAACACCTGGTCCTAGACAATGTGTGAGGCGCTGGCGATTGTTTTACTGCTCCAGATTCCTGGTAGATTCAGGACTGGCCATCAGCGCGGGAACACGTATTGATACTTACGGAGGGCTGAGGCTGGTAAATGGCAGAACTGTTAACGGGGAAAGCTCCTGATGTCTCGTGATGTTTCCCTTGCAGACCACGCCTCCCAAGTGTGTCGACTGCAGACAGTACCTGGACGATCCCGATCTCAAGTTCTTCCAGGGGGATCCCGACAATGCGGTAAGCGGCTCATTGCTGGGGTTTAGAAACGTGGCCGTGCTGCTGGGAGTGAAGGTCCAACGTGCCCCTCTCTCTCTCTCAGCTGGAGGAGCCGGAGATGCTGACGGACGAGCGCTTGTCCATTTTCGATGCCAACGAAGATGGGTTTGAAAGTTACGAGGATTTGCCCCAGCACAAAGTGACCTCCTTCAGGTGAGGTTTCTTGCACTGTTGCACCAACAATAATTTGGCAATGCTGCATTTGTAACCCCTGGGGCAAATCAGAGTCCAGGGGGGTCGCTCTCTTCTGCACAACATGGAGAGGCTTGGTTCTGCCCTGAGCACTGCTCTAGGCTGTGAGACTGCTTCCCCAGGCATGTAGCCTGGAGCTCGGTTCCCGGGCGTGCAAGCCTTCCTGCCCTGGTCAAGGGAAGCGTGTCTGACACAGGATGTGTAAATGCAGAGCTGTTTGCAGCGAGCCCTGGATGCTGGTTTAAGCTGAGTATTAAATGCAACCTCCGTGAGGTGTTGAACAACGTGCGATCGGGAAACGTCCTTTCTCCTCTCTCGCACAGCGTCTACGACAAAAAGGGTCACTTGTGTCCGTTTGACACTGGTCTCATAGAGAGGAACATAGAACTGTACTTCAGCGGTGCTGTGAAACCAATCTACGACGACAACCCTTGTCTAGATGGTAAGTGTCTTTCGGCGCAGAGCTGGGGGCAGACACTGGCCTGCCTGGTACCCTGGGACTCTCTCAGGCTGTGTCCTGAGGATCACTCCAAAGGCCTGGGAAACCCAGACTTTGTGCCTTCAGTGGGATCTTGGCAGTGCGAGGAACGACCTCTCCTCTCGGGTGACGTCGCTAGCACTAGGTTACTGCCGCGAAGTACGTTGTTCGGTAATTCTGCAGGAGCTCGGTTATGCTGGGGCTGGGGGCCCCATGGCAGGGCTGATTCTGAACTGAAGTTCAACAGCCTGTTAATGGCAAGTGTTTTAAAAGCAGCTGTGCTCTGATCTGGGCCAGTAAATCTGTGTGAGGGCCTGGTTCTCCGGGGGTCTGCAGTGTGTGCAGTACACTCCCGTTGTGAGCCGGTAGCGTTTCTCACCCGCCCTGCTCAGGTGCCAAGGGCGGCAACAGAGAATCTGGCCCCTCGGCAACAGAATCCAAACCCTTGCGGGGTGTGTGTGTGTGTGTGTGTGTGTGTGTGTGTAACATCCGTGCTGTTCCCCGCTCAGGTGGTGTCCGAGCCAAGAAACTGGGTCCCATAAACGCTTGGTGGATCACTGGGTTCGACGGAGGAGAAAGAGCCTTGATTGGCTTCACTACGGGTACGTCTGCAAACTGGGGCGTTTCAGGGGGCTTCTCCCTCGGGGGGGGGGGGGAGGGGCTGGCGGGATCCCTGTGTTCTGAGGGTTAAAGATTCGGGTACCCCGAAGGCTACGAAGCAGCAAGCTGCAGTGGGGTGGGGAGTGGGGGCCAAGGCACTCGATAACGGCCAGAGCGGGTTGCCGCGAATCAATTGCCAATGCTGGGGGGTCGCTCCTGTTACACAAGCCGCAAAATGCTGATTTTTCTCTGGACTCATCCATACGCAGCTGCCCCAGTGTAACTCGGGGAGGGGTTTTTAAACTCTTGCCAAAGGGCATGTGGATGCTCCCTTGTTTTGGATGATACCAGCTAGGAACAGGATGATGCTAAACAGAACTAAGCCGCTCTTGAATTGAAGTGTGTGTAGACGCTTGGGGGACCGACAGGACTCTGCTCCTGAGAGTCCTTTACGCTTTTCCCGTCACACGTTCCTTAGCTTGCTTGGGCCTCTCGGCTGTTCTGCGACGTGTTCCGTAAAGCCCCTGCAGTCACCGTCTCTGGCAATCTCTCTCTGCTTCAGCCTTTGCGGATTACATCCTCATGGATCCCAGCGAGGAGTACGCGCCCACCTTCGCCTTAATGCAGGAGAAGATTTACATGAGTAAAATCGTGGTGGAATTCCTCCAGAACAATCCCGACGTCAGCTATGAGGACTTGCTGAACAAGATTGAGGTGAGACACGGCGTGTCCGTCCTCTGACTCACAGGTCTCACCGCTGGGTTCCCAGCCCCCAGGGCAATTGTGGACAGGAGCCGAGGGGTCACGGCCAGGCTGCTAAATGGCAGGGGGTGCCTGGCGAGGTGAGAGAAGGATTCCAGGACGTGTCCCGCTATGGGCACCGCTGGGCTAGCTGACTCTGAACTCTTGGGTCTTTGACACTGTCTGTACGAGGATGTATCCATCCGCTCCTCCCCCTTGAACGGGGTGTGGGTGAGGGGCGAGGAGATGGACTTTTATTCTACTTGTGGTTTGTCTCAAGCCACATCGTAGGTTGTCCCTCTTTACTAACCCCTCCGGAGGGTGGAGCTCTGCCTCCGGTTCTTACCCTCTCCTCCGCCGTACGGCGAGGGTGAATGTCACTCGTCCGCAGAGCTCTCCCACCAGGCTGGCTGAGGCCTAGTCTGAGGGCTGATGGGGCGTGCGGTGTTGCTGCACGAGGGTGAATCTCAGCCTCGCCAAGGGAGTGACAGGCATACCTTTTCAGTCGCTATTGGTGAGTTTGGGTGGCCTGTGCCCCTGCGTCTGAGAACCAGGGCCCCCAAGACTCTGGCTCCCTGTGAAAATGTCCGTGCCCTCGGGTGGTGTGAGGCGTGCTGTATGCGGGGATGTCCCATGACCCTCTGCTGCGTCTCTCCAGACAACGGTGCCGCCCGCCGGGCTGAACTTCAACCGCTTCACGGAGGACTCTCTGCTGCGGCACGCCCAGTTCGTGGTGGAGCAGGTGGAGAGCTACGACGAGGCTGGAGACAGCGACGAGCCGCCCGTCCTCATCACGCCGTGCATGAGAGACCTGATCAAACTCGCGGGCGTCACCCTGGGGAAGAGGTAGGCTGGTGGGAGCTGCCCCCGGCCCGTTCTGCAAACAGCAGTGCTCTGCTGAGGGTTATACGGGCACTGGCACTGCATCTCGGGCCTTGCCTCTGCCTGGCGCTATGCCACGTTGAATTCACACCCTTCCTTATTCTGGGGTAACTTCCCTGGCTCTAGACAGACCCTCGGGGATCTATATGCCAGCGTGGAGTGAGTTGCCATAAGGGGTTTGGTTAGAAATGAGAAATGCTCCTGAACTTGGCTTCCTAATCAGTCTAGTCGGGCGCAAAGAAATCCCCTCTGCATTGCTGTTCAGGGAGCCAGGGCGGTCTGGTGGTTAGAACACTGGGCCGGGATCCAGGAGACCTGGTGTCCATTCCCAGCCCGGCCACAGCGTGAGTCCCTGCATCTCCGGGCCTCGGTTCCCCACGTGATCCTTCCTTCATCAGTCTAGATTGTGGGGACTCTCTTATGAGTGCGTTTCAGTGCCTGTTACAGGGCTTTTCCTGCCAAGCCAACGGTTATAACACGGTTTATCACGAGGTTCTGTAGGATGTATTGTGCCAGCTTGCGGCTGGCAGAGGCTGGCAGGGCGGGGGTGTGTGTGAGGAGAGCGGTCAGTAGCATTGCACGTAGCCAGAATTTTCCGTCCCGGTCTCTGGTGGGAAGGGGTAATGCCACCAGTGCAGGACCATGCTGCAGCGGGCAGTGTCTGAGCTGCTGTCCCTTCCAGGCGAGCTGCGAGGAGACAGGCCATTCGGCATCCCACCAAGATAGACAAGGACAAAGGGCCCACCAAGGCCACCACCACCAAGCTGGTGTACCTGATCTTCGACACCTTCTTCTCGGAGCAGATCGAGAAGAACGAGAGAGAGGAAGACAAGGAGAACGCCATGAAGCGCCGGCGCTGCGGCGTGTGTGAGGTAACCAGCAGGCTAGGCCGGAGCTGAGCTACGTCTGACCCCCAGCTGGGGGGCTCTGGATGCTGGGATCCAGTCTTGCCCAGCTCTGGGGCATGGGCAAGGCTAGCTGGCTTCCCGCTGCCCCTTGGGCTGTGTGGCTGGCTGGACGTGGTGCCCCAGAGGGGAAAGGCTCCGTGGGGTGACGTTCTCCTTTCTGGGGACAATGCGTCCATTTCCCTGCAGCCTGAAGCAGGGCAGCACGCTAAGGGCGAGAGCAGTGCGGGGAAAGGAAGGAAGCTGTGCTGTGCCAGGGCGGCTCTGCTGCGCTTTCAGGGTGGCCAAGCAATTTCCCTCCTGGCCCGGTTCTCCCGGGTCCCCGTTGGCACCTCCAAAGCCAGCCAGGGCTGCTCCACGGCGGGAGGATGCTTGCTCTCTCTCGGCTCCAAAGCCTCGTCTAGTCAACGTGAGTCTTGGCACAGGCTCTGCTCCCGCCCGTGGTCGAGAACCGAGCGCCACGTCCTCGGGGACGACTTGCTCCTCCGGCTCCTCCACCATTCGCAGCCGCTCAGCCTTCGCCTTTCTCCCCTGCCCTGCAGGTTTGTCAGCAGCCTGAGTGTGGAAAGTGCAAAGCCTGCCAGAACATGATCAAGTTTGGCGGGAGCGGCCGGAGCAAACAAGCCTGCCTGCAGAGGAGGTCAGTGTCCCGAAAGGTGGTTCTGAGCACCTGGGAGCAGGGCAGAGCCTGGGGGGTTCCTCTACTCCTGGGGGCAATGGACGTTACTGTACAGGGAGTCGTCAGTCTCCTGGCAGGAAAGAATCAAGAGCTGGTACTACCCGGGATTGGAATGACCAGACAGGATCAGAGGAGGGGCCCATCTAGTCTGGTCTCTGTCTCCAGCAGGGCCAGCACTGGCCGTGTCACACGATAGTCAAGATCCCCTGCAGCAGACAGCGATGGGGTAACCTGCCCCTGGGGGAAATTCCCTCCTGACCCCCAGTCACTAGAGCTCAGCTCATGCCCTGAAGCATGAGGGTTTATGGCCCTTCCAAAATGCTCGGTAGTTTGAGAGCTTTCCCGGTGTAAGTCTGGAGACTCGTTGGCCACTCAAACGTTGAACCCGCTGCTCTGTCGATGGGGCGGAGGGCGTGTCGCACACACTAATCTTGGTGACACGTCCTTTCTGTATCCAGCCAGACCAGACCCAGATAGTGATGTGATCATAAAACGTGAACAGAAGTGAGTGAAATTCCCTCCTCTTCCACTTCAGAGATTGAGTGGGGCAGGGATGGGATCACCTGCCCGTCTCCAAAGGGGCTGAGCACGGAGGACTCTGCAGAATGGCTTAGGCAGTAGCATGTCAGAGTTGGGGATGGGCTGTATCTGGGAATAATGGTCGGGGAGCGGGGGTGGAATCTGGGGCTGCAGCAGCGTCTCCCAGTGTTGGGATGAGCTGGACAAAGCACTTGGGAGCCTGTGGAAGGAGCCGACCTGCCCTGGCGGGTGGTGAGGACTGAGCGCGTGGCCTGAGAAGGCCCCGTCAGTCACCAGATGCACTGACTGTCGCTCCCACCCTAGGTGCCCCAATCTGGCCGTCAGAGAAGCAGATGAAGACGAGGAGGTGGACGATAACATCCCCGAAATGCCGTCACCTAAAAAAATGCTACAGGGAAGGAAGAAGAAACAGAATAAAAGCAGGATTTCCTGGGTGGGGGAACCAATCAAGGTAGGGCCAGAGGAGACATCTCGCTGGCAACGCGCATTCCCACCCGAGTAAAAGGGCTCGTTGTCTGGCATCGACGTCCTGAGCAAATCTCCCCAGCGGGTGTAACTCTAGGCTTGTGTAACCTGCCAGCGGGGAAGCCGCAGGGTTCTCGCTGCTGCCCCATTGCTGGGCCTTTAACGCAGCGCTCACGAACAGCCCCTGCTTTCCTGGGTGGACGTGGATCTGCTGAACGGTGTGCACAGCTAAAGGGCAGGTGCCACTTGCACGCTGCTTAGGGAACGTGCAGCGATCTGCCGCGCAGGTCTAGTGGCGTGTCTCTGTGACAAGCGCGGGAGCATTTGAGATGTACGGGCCGCCTGGGGGAATTGTGGCTTTTCAGCCGCGCCTCTCTTGTGCGCTCTAGCCTGTTTGTTATGCCAGCGCGCTGTATTGGGAGCAGATTTGAGTGGGAGTTTGTGGGCCTGTCAAAGGTTAACCCTCAATCTGAACCGTTCCTTGTCTCTGCGGGGCTCAAGGCCTCGCTAGAACCTGGCGTCTCGCGGGAAGTGTCGAGCTCCCGTTGTTTGCAGGCTGGGGTGGTGGCTTGCCTGACGGCTGGGCTGTAGCCGAGGAGTGGTTACAATGCGGGGGCCAGGACCCCGTCTCTGGGAATAGATGCGGGTCAGCGTTCACGGCTTCTCCGGCCCCACCAGTGAGGAGCTCTGCTGCAGGCACAGTGGGGATGCGCAGTGAGGCTGCCTAGAGCGAGGGCTAATGAAAGCCCTCCACCTCCCTCGAACGGGCATGTGACGGCTGCCCTCGTGGCCAGCACACCAGGACTGAGCCAGGGACCCCAATCGCTAAAAACAGGAGCTGCGGCAGCTGGAGCCAGAGCGCGACGGCTCCTTAGCTGGGGCTGTCAACTCGTAGGCTCTGCGGAAGGGCGCGGAGAGGGACCAGCAGCACGTTCACCCGTGGGTTCCAGGCGCTGTCTAGCAGGGAGGGGAGGGTCTCTAGCTACGAGCCACGGGAGAAATGAGAAGACACTGGGTAATGGGGTTTCTGCCGGTTCTAATAACCAGCCTTTGTCCGCAGCGCGATGGGAAGAAGGACTATTACCAGAAGGTGTGCATCGATTCCGAGACCCTGGAGGTGGGGGACTGCGTTTCCGTCAGCCCCGACGAGCCCTCCAAGCCTCTGTACCTAGCCAGGTTTGTGGTGGTCCAGCGGTGAACGCGCACTTGTCTGTGTGCCGGAGGGGTTCTGGGAAGGGGCCGGTGCAGGGATCACAGGGACGTGTCCTGCAGAGATGTTGGGAGATCCCTGTCTGCGTGGGGCTGTCTCTCTGCTGTTAGTGGGTCGTGGAGGCCCCAGACTGGAACCTGCATGTACATACGGAGGAGCCCGGTCTAAGTACGCATGACAGATGGGGGGGGAGGGGGACCCTGGCTCTGAGAAGGGAGGTGACTTGCCCACCGTCATCCAGCAGGGCAGTGGCAGAGTTAGAAGAGAACCCGGGTCTCCGGAGTCCCAGTCCGGAGCTCTCCCCTGGACCCTCTCTGCCTGGGGTCTCGTTAGCCCCAGCACCGCTCAGCCTGTCCAGCGATGCGGAAAGCGTCTTTCCCTCGGCAGCCTGGGGGTGGTGTTCAAACACAAGCCCTTCCCTTGCAGAGTCACTGCGCTGTGGGAAGACAGCAGTGGGCAAATGTTCCATGCCCACTGGTTCTGCCAGGGCATCGACACTGTCCTGGGGAAGACCTCGGACTCGCTGGAGCTCTTCCTGGTGGACGAGTGCGAAGACATGCAGCTGTCCTACATCCACGGCAAAGTGAACGTCGTCTACAAGGCGCCCTCGGAGAACTGGGCCTTGGAGGTGGGTGGCTGCAGTCTCCTTGGCAGGCCTCGGTGGGAAAGCTAGCCCCACGGGAGAGCTCTGTGTGGTTCGGGGCCCAGCGTAGGCGGGCAGGGCCTGGTCTGCTTAACTTGGGGCAGCAGCAAGTGGCAAATGCTTTAAGTGCGGCTGGTCGTTGAGCTAGTGGGGGCTTGGAGAAAACAGCCGTCCGAAATTGACTCGATTGCTTGTGTCCTCGTAGCACCTAGCGGCCCCAGATGAGGTCAGGGCCCCGTTGCACGAGGTGCTGTATGCACAGCTAGTGAGAGATGCTCCCTCTTCTGAGGAGCTTGCAGTGTAAATGGATGAACGGTGGGAGGGGAAACAGAGAAACAGAGAGAGGAAGCGCCTTGCCGGCCGTCACGCAGCAGGTCAGTGGCAGAGCTGGGAACAGAACCCAGGCGTCCTGGCGCCTCTCATCCTCGGAATGATATGCAGGCTCTGTTTGTGTAACTTCCTTGAGAGACGTTTGCGAGGGGAACAGAGGTTCCCCCCTTCCCCCACGTGTGACGCTCTGGGTACGTAACAGCGTTCTGTCCGGCGGCGGGATCCAGCCAGCTGCTCGCCCCCTGGCTGCGGGACCCCTACGATTTGTCTTTCCCCACAGGGGGGGCTGGACATGGAGATAAAGATGGTGGAAGACGACGGCAGAACCTATTTCTACCAAATGTGGTATGATCAAGAGTACGCCAGGTTCGAGTCGCCCCCAAAGCTCCAGCCCTCGGAAGACAACAAGTACAAGTGAGTGCGTGAGGCTGGCTGGCTGGCGGGAGCGAAAGGCTCCATCTTCTCTCCGAAGATGGGTTTAGCCGTAACTCGCATTAGCTCAGGTTTATTTGTACTCGGGTTATTGCCCAGGTCAAGGCAGGCAGAGCTGGCGCATGGAGAGTAGCTTCAAACCAATCGGGGCAGACTGGCTGGTTCTCGTTTTCTCAGCTCAGCCGTCTGGGGCACTGGGCTAACAGTAACTTGGGGCTTATTGGAAGAATATTGTCGGCTAATTCACACTGAGATGATTTTATCTAGTAGTATTTTCAACTTCTATCTTGGCTCAAATGGGAGTGCTGATTAAATCCCCCCACACACACACACACATACACAGCAGTTTAAGCCAGTGTGGGATACGTGTGAAAACCAGCAGGTGTGATGTTTGTTGTGCAGGGATCAGGCCCCCATTGTGTTAGGTGCTGTGCATACAACAGAGGCAGTCGCTGGCCCCGAGAGCGGAGGTTCCTGCACCCATCAATATCTCCGCAGATGGTCCAGCTCCGAGCCCTCTGCTTTCCCCACAGGTTCTGTATGAGCTGCGCTCGCTTGGACGAGGTGAGGCAGAAGGAGATACTCAAAGTCATGGAGCCCCAAGAAGAGGTGGATGGGAAGATGTTTTACGGCCTGGCGACAAAGAACGGCGTGCAGTACAGGATAGGAGACGGCGTCTTCCTGCTGCCGGAGGCTTTCTCCTTTAGGTTGGTTCTTGCCAGGTGGGCACGGGGTGTCTCTTCTCGGCAGGGTTTATTCACAGCCCCCATGGCAGAGTCGTCTTCAGTATCTCCCATAACGGAGAACATACCAGTCTGCGCTTCAGTTGTAAATTAAGCACCAAACAAGCCAGTTGTAAATGGATTCCTAGATGTTTAAGTCTAGAAGGGACTGTGATGATCATCCTGTCTGATCTACCACAGAGATCCTCCCCCCCGTTTGGGCTAGAGCAGTTTCTACAGAAAGACACGCGGTCTTGATTTAAAGAGCATATGTGATGGAGTATCCACCCTGTCCTTAGGCAAGCTGTTCCCCTGGTTAATGGCCCTCCCTGTTAAAAACTCTGCCCCTGATTTCTAGTCTGACGTTTGTCTGGATTCAACTTCTGGCTGCTGGGTCTCATTCTGCCTTTTTCTACTAGGCTAAGGAGCCCTCTGCTGTCCTAATCTCTTCCCCACTTGTAGGCTGGGATCAGGTCCTCTCTTAATCTTTTCTTGGGTAAACTCCATAGATTGAGGCTCTTTAGTTGGTGTATGGACATATAAGCCCACTACAGCTGCTGGGTGAGTTGGAATAAAATGTCTCTGGGGGGCGGGGGGAAATCTAGCTAGCCAGACACGTCGCTGGTTTGGCTGAAACTCGGGTAACTGGTTCTATAAACTGACGGGTACGCAGCTCGTCAGCAGCAGAGGAGAAGTCTCACGGATGCGCATCAGCCTCGGTCTGGGGAGTGGCTGCACCGAATCGCTAGCCGTGATAAAGGCCATGACCTATCATGCAGCTGCCTACAGGAGGGTGTTGTCTTTGGGTCGTGCCTAAGAGCCCAGCATGGAGCAGGACCCTGCACGAACACCCCACGGTTCCTGCCCCGAAGAGCTTCCTGCCCAAGTGACTCTGTCTTGCACCCTCCTCAGAGACGGGACACGGGGCTAGAGAGCTCGCTGCGTCTGAGCTGCTGTGGCCAGCATCGGGGCTTTGATGTGCCTCTGCAAATGCCTGGGCTGCACACGCGGGAGAGGGGACCCCACAAGGTCTCGTCCCTCCCTGCTGCAGGCAGGCGTTCTGCTTCGTCAGAGGGGCTCCTTAATGGGGGAACAGCCCCCTGGTTCCGAAAGCAGAATCGCTGCCGGGCCAGGGGCGCTTCGGGGGGCTGCGCTGGATTGTCCTCTGAAGGGTGGGTC